TATTTCTCTATTATTTTTTATCTTATTTTTTTATTATTTCTTTTTTTATTATTTCTTACATGAGCGAAAAATAAAGTTATAAATAAATACCGGTACGTATAAAGGAAAGTGATATTCCGTCGTAACATACATGTATTAATATTAGATCTCGAATCGTTCTCAGGGAAAGAACGAGACAAATCATATCAGCATACAATATAGAAAACTATTCAAACGTGGAGTCTAACAATTTTCGCCAGTCACAATGCTTGTTTCTGTTACAGCGTATTAGGTCGATTCACATGGAAGATTCGAATAATGCAAGCCGCGAAACACTTATTTACGAACTGGTTTCGATCACATTAATTTTTCAGAGTGCATTAAGAGTTTTGAATATATCGGTTACGTCCGTTACCAACCATTAATGATTTATTACTAGACTGCGAATTTTTATGCAAATTTCCATGTTTCAATATTTGCTCATAAAAACTGAGTTATAAACTCAATTCTTAAATCCAACTGGATTTTAAAATCCTTGCGGTAAAAGAGACACGAACGTATCAAGTATATTGCGAATATACAAGTTCTTGTATTTTTAAATTAATTACACACCACAATTATATGAAGATTCGCAGTCTATTAGTTGTTTCTGTACATGGTAGATAAAAGCTTTCTATGAATAATAATTTGTTTTTATTCACACATTGAAGCGTAAATGGTTCAAACGAAAAATATCAATTGCGTAATTAAAGTAGAAACGAAAATGAGAACGAGAGGCTGGCGAAACTTTCTTCAACTTCTTCATTATTCCGACTGATACACTGTTATGTGTACACACATTGAATTAATTAAAATCCGCAACTAATTATTAGATAACAGCGGGGGCGGGAAGTGTCGTCCGATCGTGAGTCCACGCCTATCCCCGCAATAATTTACATGACATTAGACTAATTGACAGTGTATGTTACAGCGAGCTGTAGAATGGGAAATAATTGCGTTTGTAGGTAGCGTATTTTTGATATGAATAATGCATTGCGTAGGGTTGTCGAACTGAAGTGAGGCTTTAATAACTGCGCTACGGTAAATTCCTGCTCTTTGAACAGTGGCATGAAAAAGAAACTGCAAGGCAGCGTACTATTGAAGTAACCGATTTAATATTTCTCGCCAATACTCGTCGCCAATTTTGTATTCAAGATTAATACTCGTTACGGTCGTTGGATATTGAAAATATCACCTATTAAATATTTAACATTCCCTAAAGAATGCATCTACTATGTCAAGAAATATTTTTGTAATGCAATTTATGACAGCAAAATCGATTGGAGTTAAAAGATAAATATAAGTGAATCAAAGAAATTGTTATTGTTTAATTATGTGTTCATACATATTCATAGCGTAATACATAGTGAGTAAAATAATGTATTTCTGTTCATAGTAACTCGTATATTAGAACGTAATATTCGGTATTCAGTATTGTTATTAAATGATATATTCATACGTAAGAGTTAGGCCAATAATATAGTTTTTCGTTTATGCAATTACTTAATGTTGCTGCTGAACCATTGGATCATGTTCTAGTTCATTAAGGAGAAAGCAAAGCCACTGTTTTTCATTAGTAGAAATCATAATTTCTTATTCAATGCTGGCGNTATTAGTTGTTTCTGTACATGGTAGATAAAAGCTTTCTATGAATAATAATTTGTTTTTATTCACACATTGAAGCGTAAATGGTTCAAACGAAAAATATCAATTGCGTAATTAAAGTAGAAACGAAAATGAGAACGAGAGGCTGGCGAAACTTTCTTCAACTTCTTCATTATTCCGACTGATACACTGTTATGTGTACACACATTGAATTAATTAAAATCCGCAACTAATTATTAGATAACAGCGGGGGCGGGAAGTGTCGTCCGATCGTGAGTCCACGCCTATCCCCGCAATAATTTACATGACATTAGACTAATTGACAGTGTATGTTACAGCGAGCTGTAGAATGGGAAATAATTGCGTTTGTAGGTAGCGTATTTTTGATATGAATAATGCATTGCGTAGGGTTGTCGAACTGAAGTGAGGCTTTAATAACTGCGCTACGGTAAATTCCTGCTCTTTGAACAGTGGCATGAAAAAGAAACTGCAAGGCAGCGTACTATTGAAGTAACCGATTTAATATTTCTCGCCAATACTCGTCGCCAATTTTGTATTCAAGATTAATACTCGTTACGGTCGTTGGATATTGAAAATATCACCTATTAAATATTTAACATTCCCTAAAGAATGCATCTACTATGTCAAGAAATATTTTTGTAATGCAATTTATGACAGCAAAATCGATTGGAGTTAAAAGATAAATATAAGTGAATCAAAGAAATTGTTATTGTTTAATTATGTGTTCATACATATTCATAGCGTAATACATAGTGAGTAAAATAATGTATTTCTGTTCATAGTAACTCGTATATTAGAACGTAATATTCGGTATTCAGTATTGTTATTAAATGATATATTCATACGTAAGAGTTAGGCCAATAATATAGTTTTTCGTTTATGCAATTACTTAATGTTGCTGCTGAACCATTGGATCATGTTCTAGTTCATTAAGGAGAAAGCAAAGCCACTGTTTTTCATTAGTAGAAATCATAATTTCTTATTCAATGCTGGCGATGCATATCGTTGCAATGCGAGTCGTTATGCATTTGTCGATCGTGAACAATTTGAAAGATTAATAAAACACAAAATCTCATACAGTACAGTTTCGAGTATAGTACAGTTTCGAAATAGTCCTAATCTATTGAAGTTACACGTTTCATTTAATCTCGGCTTTTATTTTAACACTTAGTATAAAAGTATCGCCGTCTAAGGAGGCATTAAAATGTATCTGATTTGCATTTATGTTTTTTTTAACTATTTCACTTTCTTCATCAGGCACATAGCTTATACTATAATTAAGCTGGTTGCGTGATACCTAATGTTTTAAACACAGGTTCAGCAAATGTGTCGGTGCAATTAAAGAAACTTTGTTAACTGCTATATATAGTTAACAGTTATATTACAGTTCGATGTAATGAAAGTTTACGTTTTAGTTGAAATAGGTACTCTATATACTTATTCAAAAATTTCAGTTTATTTTTGCGAAGATAATTTTTATCCGATATAGGGTAGTGGTGTCGGTTACTGTGGGTTGATCAATTGCTGTACCTTTTCTTTCTTCTCGGTCATATTTATATTTATCGAAGAAGACATATTAAATTTTCTTGTTCTTTTATTTTGTTTATTTTTAAATAAAAAAATTTACTATGTCTTCTTCGATAAATACACAGTCAATTATGTCCGAAAACGAACCAAAGGCACATCAATTGATCACCCCACAGTAACAAGCTTCCCTATCCTACAGTGCGTATTTTTAGATTCTGCAGCAATACTGTCTCTAGAATACAGAAAACACGTTTCGTTATGTCATTCATGTGGATTTACTCGTTTCTCCGAAAAATTCGCAATGTTAGATCACCGTTCTTGAACCGTTGAACGTGCGACAAAAATAAATTAGAGTTCTGCGACAGCACTTTCTCTAGGATATTGGAAACACGTTCCGTTACGTTACTCGAATAAAATTTATTCGGATTTACGCGTATCTCTGAATAATTCGCAATGTTGGGTCACCCCTCTTGAATCTTCGAACGTGCGATAACCGCTTAAAAGTGATTCTCATAGAGCGTTGTCGGCAATATACGAAATTAGCTACGGCTACGCCAGCAAGTAGAACGCGGTTTGTTAATGACCACCTTAAAGCGTTCACTAGAGTGTAACAGGTGTAACCGCTTTATTACAAACGAGATTTCCCTTCTTTCTACGCCCCCACCCTTCACCGACCTTCTCCGCTGTTTCCTGCGCAGGAAAATCGATAAACCGGCGTAGTGTTCGGCGAATGCGTACAGAAGACTCAATTAATGCTCCCTGACTGTACGAGACAGTAATCGCGAGGATGACATTCGCGTGATTTAAAAAGAGAATATTTTCCGACCCGACCAGAAAAATCCAGTGAAAATACCGCTTAACCCCTGAAAAATAATTCTTTCGAGCAGTTGTCAATAGGTCTTAGGCCTTCTGGTTTTCGCGAAACTAAACTTGTTCGAGATTTAGTTAAGTCATTGATAAAGTCTGCACTTGACCTTTTATCTACAGCATGAGTTATTTCATTTTAACGACCCGGGGCTTATACAAATTATCTTCTTTGACGTAACGTGTGTTTGCTTGTCGGAATTATTTTTTTTTTTTCATGTAATTGTCAGTTTGTGATATTTATATGATCTCGTAATTAAACACTTTGTGCGTTTGCCAATCACGTTCGGTGAAGAATTGTTCATGATTTTATACAGTGTTTTGTACAATTGCCTTTTAGACACTAACAATATAGTGTTTTTAAATTCTTTCGATTTCTTACTGTTTCGATTTCACTCAATTCACAGTTATAGATAACATGATTATAAAATGCTGGTTGCAATAAACCGCTCCTACTCGGCAATTATTGCTGCTTCAGAGCCTAATAAAATCAGAATATGTACCAGCTTTACGCGGCAGAGATTTTCACTACACTTTTCTCGTCGGTGGCTCTCTTAATTGCTAAGGCGACTCCATGTTAAGAAACGAGAATCGCATAATGATTCGCTAGTTGTCTACAAGCATTTATTATGTACGTCTAAAAACAGAAATGCAAGATTGTAAAACGCCTTCAACAAGGTATATACTAAACGTGCTGCGAAGTCTTCGCTCGAAATTTTATTTACTCCTTATGCCAACACAAGCATAATATATTATAAAATTTGTAAACTCTTGAATGATCATAAGTTGATTTACATGTTAGGCGGAACTACATGTTCAACAACCGTTACAACACTGCTAAACGTCGTAAAATTTTTGGCCATTGGCAATAAGGGTTAAAATACGCGGTAAGAATGAGGCTATCAGAATCAATAACGAAGAGTCGTTTCTCAATACTTAATAACAAGAACACTGAATCGACTTACCAGAGGTGAGGGACATAGCTTGTTGTCTCCTGGACCTGGAGTTGTCCCGTTTCCCTACAGAGGACTGCGACCCCGAGATCTGTAGGCCGGGAGCGCTGACAGCTCGTTTCGGACCGCCAATTGCGCCAGCTACGTTACTGTTCCTGGCGAACCCAGGCGGCCTGTACCTGGCCGACTTAACACCGGAGTGCTGTGGCAGGAAGTAGTACACGCTGTGAGCCTTGTGCATGTTGGAGGAAGCTTGTGATGCGACTGCAGCTAGGCCAGCAGGAGCTGTAGAGGCTGGCAGACGTGGCAGAGAGTTTGTTGCAGCCGTGATCGCTGACTGCATGCCACGAGGTAACGTGGTTGCCCGGGATTCACCATTATACTCAAGTTCGTCTTCGGTATCCTCGTCGCCAGCAGATGTACCTGCGAATGCAGAATATTTGTCAGCAAAATGTATCGAATAATAAAGAAGTCGAGGACAGCGACGATCTATCGGGTAAACCTATTAGCTCACCAGACTCCGCCCTGGTGTTAGCATCAGGAACGGAAGATCGTCTCCTGTTGCTCCAGATCCTCTCCTCCACAGATCCACCGCAGCCGCTGGCGGCACCAGCAGTCCCCCCGCCAATCGAACCGCAGCTTCGAACTCTGTCCAACTGTTCTCTAGAGAAGCTTTTCGGATTAAACAGCAGATCTCCAGCGCTACGACGTTTAGCTGCCATAGCCAGGGCATTGGCGCTAGGGCTGGTACCAACGCTGACGTCTCCGGAACAAGCCAGTAAGCTGAGCTTCGTCCTAGAATCAGCGGCCATCAACGCTGACTCGAAGCTGCCACGCCAGGAGAACCTCTCGTAATCGCTGGCTTCTCTCTCCTCGCCTTCTTGGCCCGTAGATGCTACCGGATGGTTGTTGATCAACAGTAGCGGATCATGGGACTTGGACCTGGGAAGTTGTAGATGCGTCGAAGGGGGTGCGTTGGTGGAATCCGATGTGGAATCGTCATCCTCGGTAGTAGACGCTGAGGACGGGGTTCGATGGTGTTGGGAATACCTCCTCCACGTGGTGGAGTGATGTTGAACGGCTGGACCGCCCTCGGAAACCTCGTGCATCAGTGCTACCAGTCGGCTGCCTATATGATGCATCACCTTGGCAATTAACGGTGGACTGCTGTGGGGTGTAGAATTGGCGTCGGAGCTGACTCCGTCGCCAGCCATCTTCGTGAAGCTTTGGACCAATTTCTGGTAAACGAATGCGGTGTCGCGGCCAAGGTAATGAGGCTGCATCGCGATCACCGACGCCTTATCGTCCTTCTCTTTGTCCAAAAGGTTGTTGTTCGACGTCGTGTCGAATTTGCTGATGATCTGCTGGCAGCTCTGAGAGATCTGTTCCTGCAATGCGGATCGACGGCCGCCAGCTGCCCCTTCCAAATCCGAACTGGTGTAATCGGAACTGTCGTACGAATCGGACCAGGTGTCCTCGGAGCTTAGGTACTCGACGATCTCCCGCACCTGGTCATCCCGAATCCCCGGCACCGTTTTCATTAGCCTGGTCAGCTCGTTCTCAAAGTACACCAACTGTGGCGGTTTCGTTCTGGTCTGCGAGGAACACAGTCTGGCTTTCGAGTAACCGGACAGTCGAGGGCTGGGTGCCGGCGAAGCACCACTCGAGTTCGCAGCATTTGTATTCGGGCTGTTCGAATTGGCGACCATGGTCTTGAAGAACTGCCGCATCTTCGACATCATTAGGTTCGTCTCCTCGTCGCTGGACCAGTTGTTGAAGCTGTCCTTGCGCGACAAAGAGGCGTTCGGCAGGTGGGGCAACGTATTATGACTTAGAAGATGGTCCACCTTGCCCCCGACGCTCGTCTCAGCTGCCGAACTTCTTTCGGCGGACGCCTGATTCCCATCGTTGTCTCTCTTCTCCTTGTTCCCGTCTTTCGACTCTTGGTTCGCCTCGACGTTCGTCTGGCCGTCGTCAGGTAGTTTCTGGTGCTGCAGAAGGTCGTCGCAGCTACCGACGAAGCCCGAGTCCCTCGACTGCTGTTTGGATCTTTGATTGTAGCTCGACGAATCCCCTGAACTCATTTGGATGGTCCTCGACGAGTCCAACAACGACCCGCACACGCCTGTAGCGTTGGAGGCTGTCGTTGGCAAAGACGAAGAGGACAACATGTTTTCCGGCTGTGGGGTCTTCGCTCGCTCGGAGTCCTCCGAATGGATCGCTTCGGCCTCGTTCTCCAATACCACTTCGCCGACTACAACCATCTCTCTGCTAGGCTCCGGTGTTTTGTTTCTGTCATCCGGCACACGTGGGCTCTGCGTGCCCATGTTTCTCGGCTTCTTCTTCTTCCGTTTCACCGTATCGAACTGGCCATCCGTACCAAAAGCTGCCGTCTGTCCGTCGTCCGCGCCGTCCGTCTCGGTCGACGAACCCTCCGACTGGCTCTCCTGCGCATCCTGGCTGAGACTCAGATCTTGCAGGGAGTTCTGCGAGCTCAGGTTCTGCGAGCTCTGCGCGAGCGCCAGCAGATTGTCTAAAGAGGAACTGTGGGACCTACCAGTGCCTCTGGCACGGACTAGTTTCTTCCGCCTTTGCGCTTCCGGACTGGGTCTGCCCTCTGAATCGCTGCCAACGGATCCGTCCGAGTCGCGTCTATCTTGATCGAAACCAAGAAACTCTGACAAGAAGTACTTCTCCAGCCTCGAGGAATTAAGGAATCCATCCCCGGACGCCGACCTCTCTTGACCCTGCCCGGTACTGGCAGTCTCGTCCTGTCCCAAGGACTCCAAACCTTCGGAATAGATGGAAGACGTCTCCGACAAACTGTCCACCTCTCGGGAGCCCATGCTCGAGTTGTTGCCATCTCCGCCGAGGCCAAAGAAGAAATACTTTTCCAGTTCCGAGGCCGACGGCGGTCTCTGCTTCTTCGACGGACTTCCGGTCGCCAAGCTGGGTTCCGTCTCGCTCTCTTCGCAGGATTCTTCGACGATGGTATGCAAGGTGAAATCGATTGCCTGCCTGTGGTAGCCTCTGAGTTCTTCTTCTCGATCTCCAAGGTTGTTCGCCTCGTCCTCGGAGCTCTCCTCCGTCGCCGTGGTGGCCCCGGGCTCGTCTTCGTCGTGCGACACCTCCTCCACCCAGGAATCATCGTCGGCCAGACCGTCCTCTAAGATGACGACCCCACCACCGGCCGAATTCTCGTCGCTGGATTGCGAAAAGGCACGTGGCCGCGCATTCTCTCGGTGCTCGTTCGCCGGCCGCTCCCGCGGCACGCTTTCCTCGTTGCCCTCGAGCCTGCCGGCTATTTTTCCGACGTTTTTCACCGACACGTCATCGCTTTCACTGACACTACCGACGCTGAGCCCGCTGTCCACATCCAGCTCCGCGTGACCGCTGGTCGTCGCGGCAGCTAAACGTTTCACCATCAACGGGCGCCTGGGACCCTGGCCATTCTTGCGGTGAGGCTGCTCGTTGACAGCCTCCAGCGCCAACTGGAAGTATCCAGCCAGACCCTGGCCGGCCGTCCTGACCTCGTCCGGCTGTAACAAGGTCGTGGTGTCCGACGTGATCACGCTGACCGGCTGGTACGAGGCCTCCTGGGTGATCATCACGAGGCTTCGGTACCGGTTGCCGCCGCTGCCGTTCGTCCCGACACTGTCACCGTGAACCGCGGAGGGAAAGCGCTGTTGCGAGTCTCTGACCACGGGATCCTTCGCCGCAGCAACACCAGGGAATCCATTCTCCTTCCGAACAGACGGGCGTCGCTCAACTGAGCAAAAATGTGCCGGTATCCCCTCCGCGGCGGTGTTGTCGGTGCTGCCACCAGCCTCCGAATCTCCGTCGACCTCTCCTACCACCTGCCCGACGGTGGAACTCTCACTTCTCGCCGTGCGCGAGCTACCATCCCTACCGTCGCTACCTTCCCAACCACCGACAGCATCCCCTACCACTTGGCCGTCGTCGGAACTCTCACCTCGTATCACGAGCGAACCACCGTTGGTCCCGTTACCACCTTCCCAACCTCCGCCGGCGCCCCCTACCGCCGTCTGGTCAACGGTGGAAGAACGCTCACCTCTCACCGCGTCGCGGGCTGCGGCGGGATCCTCGACCTCGGTACCAGCAACAAACGGTTCAACCTCCTTACGAGCAGACGGGTGTCGCTCGACTGAACGAAACAGCGTCAATATCCCCTCCGCGGCACCGCCATCCGTACCTCTACCACCTTCGCAACCTCCGCCGGCGTCCCGTACCACCTGCCCATCCGCGGAACGTTCACCTCTCACCGTGTGCGAGCTGCCGTCATGCGCGCCGCCTGCTGCGCCCACGCCATCCCCGCACCTCAGCACCGCCCCGATTCGGTTGATGGTCATGTCTGCCACATCGCAACCCGCTGTGGCCAGTTCGATTCGGCGCTGAAACCCTGCTAGATCATTATCTCCGGTACCATTTTGGACATCGACCGACGCAACGGACTCGTCCTCCGTTGAATCGGCGGCCGCGAAGTTCGCCGGATTGCTCGCGGATTTTTCGACGATCCTCTTCTCATGCCGACCTCCCCATATCGATCGTCTCGAGGCTTCGAGGGTTGGTTCGGTGCCGGCGGTTTTGAAACCGTTCGCGACGTCCAATCGCGGATTCGATCGATCCGAGGCCGGGGGACTGTCATCGCGGATGACGCTCACTGGCGTCACTTCGTACTCGTGCAGTTCGTCGCTGCTGACCTCGCTACCAGTTGCGTTGGTATCGTTACTCGTGTAGCTCTCTGACCCTGAGCTCGTGGTTACCGGGATCTTCGGGTTGCCATCGGTGAATGTGCCGCGGCCCACGTTACCGACGGACTCGTCGATAATGGCCATCGACGACAGTATCGCCACATTATCGACGACAGTTTGGCCGTTTTCACTCGGTCGATCAAAGTAAATGTTCTCCGATATTCGGGGGAGACAGTTCAGGGTTTCGGGATGGTCTTCGGATAACGGGGTCTCCAAAGAGTCGGGAATAATGTTCGAGTCGCAGATACTCGATGAACGTTCGAACTGGTTCTCCGAATCCGAGAGCTGGTCCATTTCCGAATTTTCGGCACCATCTTGCACCACGATGTTCTCGCTGATATCCGTCGATTCGATGCTGTCTGGATCCAACGTCTTCACCGATTTCAGCTCGATGTGACTCTCCGAACAGTCGTTGTCGCTCGCGATGTACATTTCCTCGGGCAACGCGCGATGATGCAGTAAGACGGCTGCCTTTTTGTTGTTGCACTCCTTGGTACGGCTCTCCTTCTCCACGGGTATCATCCCCTTTTTGGTTCGCAAGATTGCCTTCTTCGCGTCCGATCTATTCCCGGAATTTTCTTCGCTGCTGCTTTCGAATTTCCTTTCATTCGAACCGTCGAAGTTCGAATCTTCGCTGAAGAACCTGACGTATTGGAGGACAACCGGTTCCTCCTCTGGCAAGGCGGTCACTCTCTTCAAAGTGACACCATGTTCCGCGGACTCGGAGGAGTCTGTGTCCTCGTCCTCGTTGTCTTCGATGTCGTTATCGCTGGTCAGTGAGTCGTCGTTCACCACGAACACCTTTGAGAACCTGTGCGAAGACGAGTCGTCGTCCAGGTCGCTGCTGTCCGCGGAGGATCTACCGGACGAGCTGCCAGAATCGTCATGCTGGAACATCCTTTGCTCCCTTCTATCTTCGAAGGAGACGCTTTCCGTGTCCTGTTGGGAGTCCTCCTCGTATTCTTTCGCTTTGCTCGATTGCTCATCGTCCTGTTGACACTTCTCGGCGCTCGCCTGGCATCGCTTCCCCCGAATCTTCCCCGCGGACTGCTCTTTTCCTTTCAATTCGTTCCCAGGATTTTGCAAACTATCCACGGGCTTGGTCCCAGCAGCCGCGTTATCTTTCTCGTCTTGGTCGAGCTGCAGATTGCACAGTCGTTGCTGAAGAGACTCGGCGGTCGTAGGAATGGACGACGATCCGTACAGTCGCGGCGTCAGCAACTGTTCGGGTCTGAAGGTGCAAGTTGCCGGATCGAAAGCACTCGTTAGTCGTGGGTCAAGCCTGGTTCCGTGTAGGGGTTGATTGAAACGGGGATGCCAGGCGAACCATGGTGCTGCTGGGTCCCCTCTCAACCTTAGGGTTCCTGGCTCCGCGTCGCTGCCACCACGACTGATCATGGAGGATGCGGCGACCGCAAAGTCTCCGGTCCAGAGGGCAGCTGGGACCGGGACCGGATACGGAACTGGAACGGGTATCGGGACCGGCACCGGAAGCACGTTCGCACCTCGCGAACCTCCGCAGGCCTACCGAGGGACAGAGAAGGGTTGGAGCCACGTGCGATTCGGTCTTAGACGTATAAACGACTACGAATCGTGACAATGTCTAGACGCTGTAGAACCCAGCTGCTTCTACATTCGGATCGCATTTATGAGGGGTTAATAGGGTTGTTTACGTGATTCACGAAATTGAAGATTCCGAGCTAAAATTGCCTATCGCCTTTTTTTACCCGTTATTAAATGATTTGCTAAGTAACGCGGTTTGTTTATTTAATGATACGTGAAGAAATTAGTAAAATTAAATTGCGTACAAAATATTTGAATTAGACGCGATTCGAGTCGTTTAAGGAATTAAGCTTATGTTAGACAGGGTTTGTGTGAGCTGTCGTGACAAATAAGAAATACATCGATACGCATCCCCATTTTTGTGAGATATCTTCAGGAGTATCATATATATGTACATAATAATTGATGTTCCAACTGAAAAAAGTTAACATTTTAGCTCTACCGGTAGCCTGTACGAATATGTAATAAAAATAATTCCTGAACGTTCTATTGTAACCCGACTAACTAATTTCACAAGACGGATGTCCTGCAACGAGCACAACCTACCTGGCAAGAAGCGGTGGTTCCTCGTCCGGGACAACAGCTCCAATCTCCTGCGGTGTTGGCGGTGTCCGTGGCGACGTTGCTCGTTCCGACAGTGACCGGTAACGCGCCGGTCGGAGCCGGCAGTGTCCCGCTCTCGAAGTAGTCCCAGTCACAATCCTCGAGAGACTGCGTGGGCCCAGATCCGCGCGGCAAACCGTTCAGGAAAGAGGAGCTCGAGCAGCTGCTGTCCGCGTCGTCCTCCTCACGGCCGGAAGACGAGTCCGAGCTGATGAAGACCAGCCGCCTGTAATCGATGGTTGGCTGATCCTGACCCTGACTGTTCCCGGCCGGACTCCGTTGTCTACCACCTCGGCCAATCACGTGCAACGCCTGGAAACTCTGAAGCTCCTCCGCGCAACAGCTTCTCGCGTGCGATCGTCCTCTTCGTCGCGAACCTGTTGAATGCAAACGGTTCCGTGCGCGGGTTTAGATTGCTTTTTTTCCCCTCTCCTCTCTTTGTATAATTGCCGATAAGATCGTAGGGAAAAAACGATACGCGACAGTCGCCGATCGACTTATCGGCGAATTATCTGTATCAATTCAGATGTTATCGATGCGCCACGCCGATAGCGAGCTCGAGGATCCTCTGATCGATTTGATGCTCGATAGTGGCACCGTGGGGCAGAGTTGTTGTTAAATATAACGCGGGATCAACTTTTTCGAATAATAATCACAATCGTGATCATTGCCGGGAATAGATGATGTTTGTCGTGGAGAGTAAAAAAATTAAAGGCTGCCAACATAAGAATAGATTGGAATAATATGATGCAATCGATGAAAAGGTAAGAATACACGGTAAGTTAGATACAGTCGATTGCAGATTGTGAAACAAAAATTTTCTGCGTTGATTTCAACAATCGGGAGTTGAACAAAAATGTGTATTTATTATTATTATTATTATTATTATTGTTATTATTATTATGTAAAACAATTCTTAAGAATGAAAATTTTGGTATGACTAGAATTAATGAAATTAAAAAATGAAAGTTAACCAGTAACAGGGACCAGTAACAATTAATGTAAAAATGGTTCTCAAACATCGTAACAAGTGCCAAATACTATTTAATCAATAATATTATCAAGGTAAAGCGATAACAAGGATTATAATATTATTAAATAAGTCTAGCGTATAATATAATTCGATGTTTTATTTATTTTACCGGGGCGTTTTTAATAAACATTCTAAAATAAATTGCTGTGCTATGAAACTTTGAATGGACAGATTTTAAACTATCTATTCAAGGAGAACATTTATTAAAATAGTTTCCAAGAGATAAGTACGTCTTTCATAAAAGTTCTACAGGAACAGATATCTTCTCGAATGAGAGCTTCAAGGCTGAACAAAATATTATCCACAACGGAAGGTATCTGTTTATTTCGAACTGTAATATAAATGCCCAATATTCTTGGCTGCAAATATGAATGCTAGTTCCGTTTGCGTTTTTTAACGTTACTTTTGCCCCTGTAATTTTCGAAGGCTGAGCAGCTATAAACAGATTCAATGAAATTTACAGAGGAGTTGCAATAAAGGTGCTTCTATCTGAAGCTGGTAATAGAAGTACATAGTGCGCATGCCCAGGTAAGAAGTCAGGGAATGGGTGTCCGCTATCTGCGCTCTTTCTCTGTTGGATACCTTTCTCTTTCTACCGACGGAACGCTAGCCTAACAAGAGCCCTCATGCTCGACGACCACCACCATGCACCGAGTCGATATATCCGACATTGACAATTCGTCTGCGAGCACCCTCTACTGTTCGAATATTACTATATTGCTTCACTGGAAAAGTTTTCAAGCTTTCCGAGGTCTTTACAGAAAGTAGAAATTTGAACGGAGCAGCGACGTTTATTTGATATCAAAATATTGTTAAGAATGCGAACTGGCGATAGAGTTATTGACTGATGGTCTGTCATAACTAGACTGTGGAGCTTTTTGCGAAATGAAAACTTTCCAAGACGATTGTAAGAAGTAGAAATCAAATAAAAATAAATTGTTTCTTTTAATAGTTTTAATCAATTGAAAATAGTGTAACAACATTATTAAATTCTTCGTATGTTTTCACAATTTTATATTACGGTTACTCATTTTCGGCATAAATTCATAAAATCCGCAGTCTAATCGTCACAAATTAAAAGGATAATAAATGATTTCCGATGTGTCATTTGTAGTCTGTAATGAACGTTGTCCGAGGGATGATTTTTTTTCGTATCACAGGAGTTATACTGTATAAAGAGTTTACTATTACAACATAGTAATTATATAATTAATTAATTATAATTTATTAATATTTATTATATTATTAATTAATTATATAATTATTTATATTACAACATAGTAATGAACCAAATGAGTATCTCTGAGTATTCGTCCTACCCTAAAGTCATAACATATTCAGTCTCCGTGTGATAAATGCTAAATTTTCAGAGCTTGTTCCAATAAATAAATAATTTCATTTCTGTAAATTTTTTAGTACAAGTTATTCGTATCAATTTTCGAGTAATTAATTAATTTAACTACGTAATTTTCGTAGTTAAATAAATTACTTCAACTTCGTAGAATTTTTATGATTGCTTATGCAGAAACCAAGCGTTACTTGAATAGAATAATGAAGAACGATACTAACAAAGTGGTCAGAGAATATTATATCGAATAGCACATAGTCAAACACGACTATGTAGTTTATTGAATGCTCAAGAGATAGGGAGGAGTAAGTAAAATGGTTGCACATGTCACTATCCATGACACATATAGTTTCTATGTGGAGGGGTTGCAGTAATCGATATCAGGAAGGGGGGGGGTGTTCCCTAGGATTTCCTTCAAGAAAGAATTTCTATTTAATCTTCTTGACAGAAAGCTCTGTCATAGAATTACTAAACCACGGGTTTCATAGCGATGCGTTCACAGTGATACGATTTTATCGATTCGGAAACATTGCTATAATCATTTAAATTTACGCGTAAAGGAGTTTTATAAATTGTAGATATAACCTCAGTGACGGACTTGGCACACAAAAATGAGAAGAAATCGTGTAAACGTATGTCTAATGTGACCTTGTTCCCCAGTTACAGACATTTTTGTGTCGTCCCAGTCGTTCACCTGTACTCGCAGAAACTGTTCAAAGTGAAACCCTCGTCTCGAACACTCGGAACTCCTAAATCTCTTATCATAGGCATTTTCATTTCGTACGTATTCAAAGTCGTACGTAAAATATTAAACAACATAAAAATAGTTTATAAACTCTAAGTAAAATAGCTTTAAACTTACAACAACGAACCTTAAACAGTTCATTGAACTTTGCGTTTATTTTCTTATCTTCGTGTGCTGAATATTACTGCAATATGTTATTGTACCGACAAATGAAGAAATAAATATGCCTGATTCATAAAATCTCATCGATATTTTTCTCCGCAAAAGAAAAACTGATTAAAGTTAAATTAACCGCGATAGTAATTTAAGCTCCATTAGTTAGCATTTTACTAGTATTTTTAGAATCCCTGCCGTAAATTTCGTGTGACTCAATTTGCACACGGTTCTCATGCTACGAAATCATAATCCAGAACAATTTGTTAGCTTCGTGACTAACATTGTTGTACTGTTCCTTCGGTTTATTCAAATAACACGCAGTCACGAGCACGGGTCACGCGGCGCGAGCAACAGGAAGAGTTGAGCGCGTGTTGTGCCTGGTTTTCACACTCCGCTGAATTACCTGGTCAATGGCACGGGCCATCGTTTGGCCAGGTGTATGACTCGCGGGGCGGTGGTCTGTGAATGGTGTTCGCGTTCGGACACCGGATCCGAGTTTACGACATCCCGGGAGCAGAAGCGGAAGAGAGAAAAACGAGCGCGAAGAAGCGAGAGGGATCGAGGAAAGTCGCGGGAGAAGAACAAAGGAAACAAGGGCGAGGAGATAAGAGGCGGGGAAGGATGGGCGAAAGGAGGAGGGAGCAGAGCAAAGGGAGTATGGAGGAAGAGAGAAAGATCAAGAAAGGTGGAAAAGAAGAACAAAGGAAGCCATAAAGGGAGAGAGGAAATGGTGGTAAATGTAGCGGTTTTGACACATGCTGTACAAAGGGAGTAGTTTTACCGAACCCACCACTGGTAAAATTTTTAAAAATTCCGTAAAAGTTTACCGAGATCTTTCTACGTAAGAGTACTCGAAGGAAGTTGAAGGAGCTTCGCATTTGCAACCGTTACGCAAGACAGAAGTGAAAATTTGTAGGCAGACAATTTTGTTGTGGTCATGGAACTCTAGAGTATGTATTATAATAATAGGTGAATTTAGATAGTCGAAATAATGTCCATTAGATTCTATGTATACCATTTTCCAATGTAGTAACTACGAAATCATCTACTTTGTAGAATAGAAATCAAGATTTGTGGAATCAATAAATTCAAAAATTTTGGAAATTGCTCTTCCTCTACGAAATAATACGAACGAATATTGCACATTTTACATTATTTGTACACACAGAGAATAAGGGAAAGAGGAACAAAGGAAATAGTAGCAACGAGAAGAGATTATAAAACGTGGAAGGAAAAAAGCGAAGGTAGAGAGAAAGATAGAGGAAAGACGATCGACGATAAAGAAGATCGCGAGAAACGAAAGGGATGAAGAGACAAACAAAGGGAATAAGGAGGAACGGAGTAAGCCGAAACGGAAATAGGGAAGAAATAGGAGTCGGTGTAGGCCAGAAGAGAATTCCCTTTTTTCTGCAAGTGTGTGATAATCCCTTAAACGGAATCAGTGGGAAAGTGTGCATTACCGGACTCGACGAATGCTTTAAGGTTGAGTAACCTACTACATACATGTGCGACACTTCTCGCCGTTGGAGATGTAAATGACCGTTTAAGGTGCTCGCGAGCACCTGAGCTAAATTTAGCGTTCGCGTTTGTAGACCAGAGTAAAATACCACTTCAAATGATCATATTTTCTGAAGCGATTTCGTCAACCAAATGATTCATATGAAATTACAGCTTTTCTGCACTATTTATATCAGTTTCCCTACTTTAATAGCCACACGCTGCCCCGATTACTTTCAAATTTACTTGGATTAAACTAACTCTGTTATTGAGAATTTCAAGTATGATCGTTTAATTCAAAAATATCGGATTACAATTAAGATAATGTATCTCAAGAAGATGCGTTAAAAATGCTAATCTCTTCGAGAAAACATGTTTGTCTCTTCTTCGAAAAAGTTAAAATACGTTTGTGAAAGTTAAGCTCATTAAACTTTGAATCCATCGAATCTTCGACGATCGGTAAAGAAAAAGATTTGTACGAAGCTCGCAGTCCGTTTCGAGAGAGACCTCGAAGAATATAGATTACCACGAAAATGCTCAGTATAACCGTCACGCAAATTAGAGCTGCTCGCCACGAGGAGAAAACGGAGAAACGATTTTTCTTTCAAAATCCCCAAGCAAAGACGTTCACCAACCTGCGAGAATAAGTCGAGTATATCCGTCGCGCAGTGCGTTCGTTTAACTTATGTCACTGTCCACGATCTGCGAAACTGCGATTCACTATCACTTTTCACCGACACGTTCAAGTTCACAAACAACACGGATCGAAGAAACCGCGAGGCGACAGCTTTGTTGTAGAATCGCCGCCGATTTCGTCATTGTAAGCAGGTAAAAGGCACTGTCAGGGAACAAGAACCTTCGTGTATTTCGAACGATTGTACAGAGGTTTCGTTCACACCCTCTATGATATTGCGTATCATCTATCACACAGACCGAGAGAGATATTTAAACTTCTCTTCTAATTAAAAAGAATCGCCCACATCGAGATGAAAGTTTCAACACTTTACCTACCGGTGATTTAATATAAGAACTATCGAGCTACTAGAGTTTGTATGATCATTAAAACATAACACGATCGCATTTTTCGAAACGTTGCGTTATTTTCATGACAAAGTAGGCACAAAATGCTTCGATCCTAATAACCGTAATACAAAGAATGTTAAATTCGTCATTTTGATGGGTTTAATTGTTTTTAGTGTTTGCAATCGAAGATATCGTTGAATAATATTATTCGAGAATCAACAAGTCATTTTGGATAACATAGTTTGATAATTTACTTTGGGATTATTTGGTAGAAAATTGATACGCTTCGTTTAGATGTTGCACAGTTATTAAAGGATTCATTTACAGACTTCCGGTGAGTAAAGTGTCTCAGTCTTTATCCGCGGATTTTCATGGTAATATCAGCTTTCATGGACGAATATCAACTTTTCTGAGATTGCAACAAGTTCCTTGAATCTAGCAACTGGCGAGTGCAAAAACTGCGTTGCTGAACTGATTTTTTCATTATGCGATGTACAAAATGCCTCGGGACTGGTAACACAATCCAGAAACGGGGGTGATTCTACGAAGACCAGTAATGAACATCATGAAAAATTAGGATTCGTGTAAATCTTGTAATAATTACATCGATACGCGTGAAATAATTATCAACGTAAATCCACCTCCAATAATCCACTTATGGGTTATATGAGCCGTTTATTTTGAAAGTGGCATAAGTCACTTTGTTTTTAATAAGTCGATATATTTAAGGGTTTGCGTTTTAACACGTTTAAAAATATGGATGCCAACTTTCGAGAAGATTTGTATTTGTTATCTCAGGACACCGATATTTTTCTCGGTATAAATAATTTCGTATAAACATTAAAAGAATCACCACTTTTCATTACGGTAAAGTGACTTGTGCCACTTTCAAAATAAACGGCTCATATGTAGATTCCCTGCGAGTGTGCTCATAAGTAGAAACGACAAACAATGGTCAGACTGTATGGCAAGCCCTGTCGAATAACTCGCGCAACTAGCCAAAACTAACACCAAGTTTTTTAACAGCTACAAACTCATTCTCAATTTTTCACTTAGGCTTCCGTAGTAGTATCTGTAGATCCAACCCACACATGTAATAGTATTACCAGTCGGAGGACACCTTGTATATAGATGCAAAACCACCATGAATTAATTAATAATAACGATCTGAAGCGATTTG